TCTTAAGTAATCCAAGGGAAAGGGAACAATCAGCAGCCTTGCCTTGGCGCGTGATTGTTCTTGGCACGCTCTACTATTCCGGCTACTTCTGAATGCTTTTGCTTCTCATAGTAGGTAAATGAGCAGATTTTGGGCTGATTTTAATCAAACATCTCAGAATTTTTTGAATTTTTCCAAAAATTTAGCTCAGTTAAATCGGACTGCCTTGAAAAGGACAAATCTTCAACTTTAAAACTGCTTTTCTTTTTAGTGACGAAAATTGTGAAAGATTTTGCCGATGTAGCTGGAAGATATACAACAGTTGATGGTTCCAGAACTAATAGCGCTCATGTGATTGGCATTGCTGGCTGTACAAATAGTGGTAAAACAACGCTTGCAAATACTCTTGCTACGATGGTACTTTTCCAAAATTATTAATTTTGCCTCTTAAAAAACAAAAGACCCTTGCATAATTTGTATTCTCAGTAGCTCAAAAAGGAGTCATAATTTTACGATAATCCATTATCATCGGTTTCTCCGTACCTCAATTTCAGCTTTCGAAAGAGGGTGTGCGAACAGTTGTGACTTCACAGGATACTTTCTATTATCGCGATGAAGAACATACGAATTTTGTTGCAAGTCGTTCCAATCCTGAGATACAGTATCGTAATTTCGACACCGTAGAAGCGGTACATTTGTATCTTTGTAGATAGGTATTTATCAAGTTCATGCAGCATAGTGAGTATTTTTCGACGATGGTAAATTTTTAGCTGATTTCCTAATTTTTAGCTGATTTTACTTGTATATCAATTTTCATAAGTTGATTTTACTAGATCGACCCCTTAGATTTAAGTATTTTGCCTTTCTTATTTACAGAGTATTCACAAATTTTTTCTTTTTTTTTCATTTTTAAAAATATCTTAATTTTTTTTTTTCATTTTTTGTTGATAATGTACCTACCTCAGAACCATGATCTGGAAGTGACAGCGTCTAAGATGATACAGTATCTTTTTTTTTCGCGATAGTCTGTACAGGAGAAGAAAAGTAAGCTAGGTTCGCCAGAACTTTGATCAACAGACGATGTAGCATCAGCTAAAATTACTAGAAAATGCCATTTACATAATAGGAGAACTAGAATATGAATTACAGCTGATCTATTTATACCGAATGCCTCTAGAACCTCGGCTAAATCTGTAGGAGGATGTCCGTTACGAAAGATAAAACCTTAAAAAATATCCAAAGTTTTGTGTTTTGATTCCCAGCCAGGTTCATTTTTTTCAGATCAATATCGATAATTTCTTGTCGACTTTGGAAAAAGCAATTGCTCAGAACGATTTCGTGATTATTGAGGGAAATATGATCTTGCAAATTGAAAGTTTGCAAAAACTTATACACCGTGCTGTATTTGTAACACTAAGACGTGGTATATGCGAAGAAAGGCGAGCAACACGAAATTACAATCCGCCGGATCTCCCAGGGTATGGTAGTACTGCCGAATTTATTCGTAATTAATCTTGTTTTAGTTTTGAACATGAATATGCATGTCACAGATATGGTGGGTAGAAGGCTGCACTAGTGATTATTACTCCTACCGCGCACTGAGTTCAGTTTGTGTTTACAGCTAAGGGATGAAACACAGGGTGAAACAGAGACTGCATCCTAAAATGTCTTCTTGCATATGATTTTTGGGCTGATCGCTTGTCTCCCACTCTATTATTGGTGCACATACATCGAATAGGTGATGGGTACTAACTGGAACTGTGCAGTTCTGGATCAGATTTTGGTATAAAGTGTTCTCGACGTTTGGAAGTATCCCAGTAATGTATGGAAATATCCTAGACTGCATTGTAAAATATCACCTTACTACTACATCTAAAGGATGAAAGACAGTTTGTACCGTAAAATATCACCTAGTACGTGACAACTGAGTATAATCCTTCTGGTCTATTATTTCTAATGTTGAGTCCCACACTGATCGTGCAGGAGGTCCTAACACTCTTATTTTAGTTTTGGTTTTAGTTGGTATGTGTTTATGTAAGATGTAAGGAAATAAAAAAGGAAATGTGAATAAATTAAAATCAAAATCTGAATGGAAATGTTTCGGTCCATCAAGTCGCATACGTTCCTGCTCAGTGCTGCAACTGGACCTCGTCAGTGTGACGGTTGCAGCAAAGTAGCATACAGTGTGTCAAAAAAGGAAAACGAAAGTTAAAATAAAAAGGGTTAAAATAAGAAGGGTCTTAGATGTTTTTGTTAGTTATATGTATGTAATGGTATAAATATTATTGAGTGGTACCCGCAAAAACGAAAAATCAAGATATTTTACAAAATAAAAAAGTTGTTGAAAACATTTGAGGTATGTGGATGAAGTTGTTTGGCCAGCCTATAAAAGTCATCTTGCCTGTGCTCAGAAACTTGCCCGTCGCTCAGCGCTGATTGCCTTCACAGATGGAAATGTTCAAAATTTTTTGAATGAATCGGAAGTGAAAGAGGTGATTTTCACGCTTCTTTTCGTAAATAAAAAACGCATTTTGGTCAGTTTACGTACTTTTGGCAAGGATTTACGCATTTCGAGATAACTTTGCCACTTTGTCCTTAAAGTAAAAGACAGTGCGGGGCTCAAAGGCCCTGTAGGGGAAAGGAAGAGGGTAGTAATCAGGGCCAGGAACAACGGCCCATTCAGCGCAGGGTAACGACCGACAAGGGTCGCACCTACCCTACATACAGTAGGAATAACCAGAGGTAGGACGGTGGTCGTCCAAAATCCAACGAGTTAGTGAAGAAAGGAAAATAAAAAAAGGTAAAGATTGTTGTGGCGCATATTTACAAAAATAAAGTGGCATGTGAAAAAGTCATGTAAAGAGCTGTATGTAAAAAGAAGCATGCCTGTGTTTCATCCCTAAGACTATACCATTCCTAGACAAATGATGAACTACTTGAACGGGTAAAACATACAACAAATAAAAGAATACTTTCCGTCAGATAAGCCGCGTACAGGATGTCTCCTTCCTAATATAAAATGTAAATGCGCGAAAAAGTGAAATTTGCTGACCGAGACAAACTGCCCGATTTCGGCAAAAAATTATTAAAGGATAACGAGGAAATAATGAAGTAGAAAAGATGAAGAAGGGAAGAAAACAAAGAAAAAGCAAAGTAAAGTAGGGAAAGGGGACTTATAGCAAAGTGATATTTGTGGGAAGACTAATAACCACTTGGATGCGTTGGCTTTAAAGGACTGGCTCACATTCACTGAATAGACATAGGGTACTACGAATAATTCAGAATCGAACGAACTGACATAACATCCCAGTAAAATCACAAACTTTACTCGTGCTAATTCCCCCAAAAAAAGTGTTTTTTATTGATTTTGTCTTTTTTTGTATGTAAAAACATAGAATATTTGTCTTTTTTTTTAGCAATTTAGCTATTTGGCTGTGGATTTTATGCTGGTGATTTTGACCATCAGATTTGTTTCAGCTGTTTCTCAAATTCACTACAAATTTACTGTTATTACAAGAAGAAAACCTCCAGTTGGCGCAAGCAATTGCATTTATAAGTTCACCAAAAAATGGTGGCATTTCAATATTTTTAGGTAATTTTTACGTTTGTTTCAATGTTTACTCATCATTCTATTTTTCGTTATTTTTTTAAATATTTCCTCTTTTACCTAAAATTTCGTGAAATTTTCATTTTTCGGAACATTTTTAGCAAACTTTATATGCATACATTGAATTCTGTACTTATTACATACGTTGATATTCTTGGTATTCATTACATATAAACCATATATGTAAAATAAGTGTAATATGT